GGTGTTACTGGTGGTACAGGTGGTACAGGTGTTACAGGTGGTACAGGTGTTACAGGTGGTACACGTGGTGCAGATGCACCTTACAAGTCGACCTAACTCACTAAGTTTGAAACCGTCTACACTCTGCCTCTTATATATGACATGCTTGCCTGAGAAGTAAATTTAAACCAAATGAAGTGACCTCACCTTGACATCGCCTTGATCATTGATCACATCATGACATAATTCTATATAAAACGACAGACCTGGGTTCTTGAATAATTTTCGATAACTATGGCAAACGGGTGATGCTGGTTGCGAAGCTGTAGAAGGAGCCTCACGGATACTGGAGTGCCCCCTCAATTTCGAATAATCTGGTGCATTGGTATATTGCTCGGTCCGTGACGCGACCAATCACGTGGGCAGATGTCAGTTGAGCGACTCCTCAATAAGGCTGATCGGCGCTGTCGTTTTCCCGTTTGGCTTTCGCCGACCTGGTGTTCAGGCACTGAGACACCAAGGTTCACTTGTAACACCCACCTCCAGGCAGTGTCTGACGACGAAATATTCCGGGTAGTGCTGGGATAAAGTGTGGGCAACATGGGCACTTGAAGTAAAACATGGAATTTGAAATCAATTTCTATCAACTCAATGAAAGTAACTTTGATACTAATAAGCACGTAATAGATTTGGAGCTAACCGATTTCGGGAGAGCTTCCGAACCTAGCGCACCAAATTTTGAAACGGTATCCGAATATATGAAATTAGTCAGTGATCAAACGAGCCGTCGGTAAAATATTTCAAACAGGCGGGTAAGCGGTTGAATGAAGCTTGCATGTACGGGGCGGTACATGGGCACGGGTACGGTTTTCGGGTATAAGGTATGTTTATGGAAATCTTATCCGTAAAAGGATTAAGTGGGGAGGAGTGAAATAAAATCAAATTTGCCCCGTGCTCCACCATCCCAGAGGATCTACCAGCACTGCAGAAGATTGCAGGCAATGTTTGCCTATTACAAAAATATGCTCATGCATAAATGTGTATTCCGCATTGCCATAACCACGATTTAAAAAAAAAACAACCGCATAACACCCGATGGCTTTGACGTACCAAGTACTATGTGCGCCGCTAAATATGTTACAAGAGTAAGAACATTTAAGTCGCTGACTTATCCAGTGCCAGTAAAGCAGTTGGAAAAATATAAAGAGCTTTCCTTTCTGACCTCGACGCAGCAGTCTCGCACCGTCAAGGCACTTCGCCGTCAAATTCTTCAGCGTGGGTATGAGTCGATGGAATCTTGGCATTCTTGCCCGACACGATAGTGGAGGGGGGGGGGAGGGGGTCTGGTAGCAGTCGACGTATGCATTGCTTTCGAAACTAAAGTTCAGCAGCATGAGTGTTGGTAGGTTTGCTACCAAATGTCTAACTTCGCATGCTTTCAGGGAGGCAATGCTGATTTGACCTCTTCTTCAATGCACTTCTGAGCCCATCTCCGCCCCCATTAACATGGGCAACGGAAAATAATAGAACCGTGCAAATGTAGGACAACTCCCCGGCATGCCAATGCACTAGGTACCTGAGCACATTGAAACTATTTTTATGTTCATGTTGCACCGCATAGTATTCTGTACGTCCGTTAATTTTTTTTTCATTTCAACTGCGTATGCTGTGACAACTGCCAAACTGTGGTTTATTCAGGAAGTAGTACACCGTCGAACTAGACACCCGTTCTGCAACACATGCAAAGGACTCATTAGCTGGCAACTAGCCATACACCGCATGCAGCCTTGGGAGCTAGCATAAGGGCATGCAGCCTGCTGCAACGAGGGCGTCCACGACCACATGCACCAAGCAACCACCATGCAAGTCACTACCGCATGTGGCACCAACAGTACATGTACAATCACCAAGGCATGCACGTGCAACAAGTCACAATAATTACTAAAAAGGGAGGTTGCAGTCTCTGGAGCGGCCC